TCATCCTCCTCCCCGTGCCCCCCCTCGTTGTCATCTTCGTCGTTCTCAGGGTCGGTGGCACCTGCCGTAAGGCCTTCGCAATCGTTATTTGTCCGCGGGCTTTTGACATATGGTTGCATTTACTTCTTTTCGGCCTTCCGACGGCTCGAGACGGCCCAGAGAGCCCCCCAAGATCGCCCCAAGATCGCGCAAGAGGCCTCCAGGATGGCCCCAGAACGGCCCAAGAGGCAAGACGGGCCCAAGACGGCCCAAGAGGCCTTCAAGACGCCCAAGATGGCCTCCAAGACAGCCCGGGAGCACCCCACCCCAAGCGGGCCCCAAGACGGCCCAGAGAGGCCCCCAGGACTGCTTCCGACGGCGTCAGAAGGGCCAGGAGCCAACCAATACGGCCGAAACTGATCCCGAGAAGCACCCGAAGGCGCCCGAGAAGCCTCCAAGAGGGCCCCCAATATGCCCCCGTCAAGAGGCTCCCTGGAAGCTCCCAGGATGCCCCAGGAGTGTCCCCAGAGGCTCCCCAAATGCCCCCTCCTCCACCTCCTCCTCCTCCTCCTCCACCTCCTCCTCCTCCACCTCCTTTTCCGCCTCCTTCTGATATTCCCCGCCATCCTCCCCAACACGTTCCCCGAAGGGTTTCCACAACAGCTGTGGAAACACATGGTCCGATAGCTTGGCAGAGCTCTTGCCACCACGTTCGGCCACATGGGCGATTCTAGAAGGCACGGGGCGGCGGTGATTCGCCGTAAGCGTCTTCGATAGATAACTCCTCCGTGTCGCACCCCGAGACGTGTCGGTAGGGCGGGCTGGGCGTTTCGCCTGAGAGTTCCTCACCGCTGATGAAAGCTCAGCATTGCAAACACTTCGCGGATGGAGGGCGGGCGGTCTTCAAACTGTGGCTCTCGCTTTCGCGCCGAGCACAGTCGCCTCTAAAGCTTGCACAGCTTTTGTCGACTGGCGGGCGGAGGGTTTCCAAAACGTGGCCCTCGCCCCGAGCGCCGCGCACATTCGTCCTAAAGCATTACAGAGGCGTCTCACTGATGGAGGGCGGGCGACTCCCAACATGTGGCCTCACCGCCGCGCGCCTTCGTCTTAAAGTGCGCAAGGACTTTCAAGGCTGGAAGGCGGCCTTTTTTCAATACGTGGCTCTCGCTGTAGCGCCGCGCGCACTTGTCTCAACACATTGCGAAGGCTTTGCGAATGAAGGACGGTCCAGAATCAAAACGTGGCCCTTGCCTTAGCGCCGCGCGCGTTCGCCTTAACACATTGCGAAGGTTTTGCGAATGGAGGACGGTCCGGTTTCAAAACGTGGCCCTCGCCTTAGCGCCGCGCGCGTTCGTCTCCAAAATCTGCGTTGGTTTCACGGACGGGGCCTTTCTTCGTTACCAAATTGTGGCTCTCGCCTTAGCGCCGCGCAGTCGTCTTGAGAGGTTAAAGCATGACTTTGGAGTGTTGTGTCTGACGTCCCATCCTTTGTTATTTGGCACGATGTAGGACTGTCGAGGCGCAATCGTCACGTTGATTCGCTGTGCTGCAGTCCCGAGAACGGTGTTCAGGCACGATTCAGGATCGTCGGGACGAAACTATAGTGTTGATTCGCGGCGAGGGATTCCCAGGGATGGTGTTTGGCACGGTTCATAATTTTCAAACGGTTGTCTTCCAAAGGGGCACTTTCAGCAGTGAACATGCATTATTGCAGAGACCTGTGAAGAGGGAACTTGGAGGGAGGGTTTGTTCCAGTATCGTTGATTGGTCTTGGGTTTACACTGGTGCTCCTCCTCCTCCTCCTCCTCATCCCCCAACTGATCCACAATCTGAATCCCCTCCTTCTCTTTCTCCTACTGATCTCACAACTCCTGCCGCTCGTCGTCGTCGTCATCCTCCTCCTCCTCCTCCTCAAGCTCCTCCTCCAGCTCCTCCTCCGCGTCCTCCTCCTCCTCCTCCTATTTCTCTCAAGCTCCTCCTCAAACTCACTTTACACTTTACACTTTACGCTGCTTACCATCGGGGTCCGAAAGCAATACAACTCACACTTACACCGATCCTCGCCGAAGCTTTCCGGGTGGCTGCCCGTCATCCGCCTCAGTACTGGACGTGCGCTTTCGAAAATGACTGCTCTGAAGTCGTCACAGATCTGGGCATGGCGGGGCTCTTTCCAGAAACGTGGCCACTGCACAGTGAAGAAGGCACATCGCCAGCAACTCCGCCTTCGTTGAAGAACCCTCGAAAACAATAGCTCCTTGCCCGACAACTGCCCAATCAGAGTACGGGTCTTGAGACGTCTCCAGAATCCAAGCCGCCGATGCCGTTCCACTGCGGTGTCCTCCATCAAATGAGCCACGTAGGAACGGACCTCGGACAAGCTTGTTCCACTTGCATTCGGCCACGCCTGCCAGGGCAACCGTGGCCAACGCGTCGGCCGCCTCCTCCTCCTCCTCCTGCTATTCCTCCTCCTCAAACTCCTCCTCCTCCTCCTCCTGCTATTCCTCCTCCTCCTCCTCCTCCTCCTCCTCCTGCCCTCCTCACCTTCCTCCTCTTCCGCGTCCTCCTCCCACAACCTCTCATACGAGAGAGCTGGGCCAGGCATCGGCATTTCTGGAGCTGCTGGCAACACGACTTGCAGTGCCACAGAAATCTACGAAAGACCAGTGTCAACGATGCTCCTCCTCCTCCTCCTCCTCCTCCTCCTCCTCCTCCTCCTCCTCCCTCTCCTCCTCCTCCTCCTCTTCCTCCTCCCCCAACTCTTCTTCTCTTCTTCTTCCTCCCCCTCCTCCTCATCTCCCAACCTTTCTTCTTCTTCTTCATCCTCCTGCTCCGAACCTGCGGTGACAGATCTATGGGACCTCGGCCACGAGATCCTGCAGTCGAGCCACGTCAACGCTGCTGTCGCTTCATCCCAGCCGAGGCACCCCAAAGAGCATTTGCATGAGGTCTGGCATAGCCCCCTGCACGCGGATTTGGGGCGAATAATTAAAAAAAAACCAAACATGCGCAAAGATGGTCAAACAGCAGTCGAACAATCGTCCCCAGACTATCTTTTGCACATGTTTAAAATGTTTTTCCTGTCGAGGGACGTGCCCGACTTCACATTTGCAGCAAGTTGCGCCGTAGACTGCGCCAAGCAGCCCCGCGGGCAACCGCATCGTCCGTTGCTCCAGTGGGTGCGCCATCGGTTGCGTTGGGTACACCGCGGACACAGAAATCGCTGTCCAGGGCGACATACGCTCAACATGGTAGCGTCAACGATGGCAGCTCGCTGCCGCTGTGCCCGTGGTAAGTAGCGGAGTGTCCTCATGTGGTCCCTGATATCGAGTGTTCTGAAGGGGGGCCTGTGGACCCCCATCTCTGGGCGCTGCCGGGCAATTCTCATCGCTCTCGGGGGTTGTCGAGCGGTTTCGCACGAGGTCTCAAGCCGCTTGCCATCGCTCGGACGTCCATTCCCCGTGCCCTTTTCGGTTTCGCGCGTGTTTTTCTCACAAGACATCCCAACATGCTTCTAGCGCTGGCCTCGCCGAAAGACATGCACACGTCCGAGCGATGTCAAGGCCGTGCTTGAGCATCAAGAACTTGAAGCTGTCCTCTTGGGAGTCGTTGGGGCCTCCTCGGGGGACCTCGGGAAGTCGACTCGACAGTTCTAACTCGTCCCAGGGAAGCGCATGAAACACATTATTCTTGCAGTTTCGGCCGTAGGAGCTCTGCACGTGTGATGCTTGATCTAATGAGCCAACATCCACGCAGGAGACATGAAGACATCAGAGACAAATAATAGCGTGAAGGTGACGACGCAGACGCGAGAGGGCGGTTGCGAACACATGCGCACCGCCATTACAGATCCGGACGAAGGCGGGATGCCGTCAAGACAAATGCAGCTATGCTAGAACAAGGATAGAAGAAATCAGCCTGGCGAAGAACCCAACCATATGCAGTTGTGGGTAAAGCCGTTGTATGCACCGCATTCGGTGGAGCTCCCTACGAGGCCGCGAAGCGTGTGAGCGGTGTGCCAAAATGGGTGCGGTGGGCACATGCGAACGCTGGCATTTGGGCCTTCGGTGGGGCTCCCAATGGGTCCACGAAGCGTGCGACGGGTGTGTCAAAATGAGCGCGGTGGGCGCATGCGAACGCTGGTATTTGGGCGTTCGACGGGGATCCCTATGGGGCCATGGCACGTGTGAGGGGTGTGCCACAATTGGTGGGGTGGGCGAATGCGAACGCTGGCATTTGGGCCGTCGGTGGGGCTCCTCTTGGGGCCAAGACACGTGTGAGGGGTGTGCCACGCTGGGTCGGGTGGCCTCATGCGAACTCTGGTATTTGGGCCGTCGGTGGGGCTCCACTTGGGGCCATGGCACGTGTGAGGGGTTTGCCACAATGGGCGGGGTGGGCGCATGCGAACGCTGGCACTTGGGCCTTCGGTGGGGCTCCCTGTGGTGCCACGAAACATGAGAAGGGTGTGTCAAAATGTGTGCGGTGGCCGCATGCGAACGCTGGCATTTGGGCCTTCGGTGGGGCTCCCTATGGGGCCACGACACGTGTGATGGGTGTGCCAAACTGGGTGGCGTGGGCGCATGCGAACGCTGGCACTTGGGCCTTCGGTGGGGCTCCCTGTGGTGCCACGAAACGAGTTAGGGGTGTGCCACGATGGGTGCGGTGGGCGCATGCGAAAGCTGGCATTTGGGCCTTCGCTGGGGCTCCCCGTGGGGCCACGAAACGTGCGACGGGTGTGTCAAAATGAGTGCGGTGGGCGCATGCGAACGCTGGCACTTGGGCCTTCGGTGGGGCTCCTTATGGGGCCATGACACGTGTGAGGGGTGTGCCAAAGTGATGGGGGGACGGGACGAGGAGGGAGAGGGAAGGAGGGGGCAGCGGGAGTGAGGTGAAGCGGGGCGATTTCTTCAAAAAGAAGACCCAACACCACAAAATGGTTGGGGGAAAAACGGAATACACATAAACTTCTGGACCGCGCCAGAGGCGGATCCGCGTTGGACCGCGCCAGAGGCGGCGCCCGAGGCGCCGCCAGCGGGGCCCAGCGCAGATCCAAGAAATCCGCGCGGAGCGCCAATAGTTCGCCTGTGGCGTGATGCTTTGCTCTTCGAAGGGGCCTGGGCAAGCACACAATGCTCGGAGGCCCGCGCGGCCTTCTCGGGTCGGCGCTGGGACCCCCCCTGGCGGCGCCTCTGGCTCCGCGGAGCGCGCCGAGGCCAGAAGGGGGGGCCTGGTGTGGACCCGAGAAATCTGCACGGACGTCCGACCCTCTGCACTGATGCGGCTTGGTGCAAGGCCCCCCCCTAACGTGACGCCAGGGCGCCCAATCGACGGGACGCCGCCCCCGAGGAGGGAGCTTCACTGCCTGAGTCTTGACGCTACAGGCCCTCACTGGTGCTGCACGTCACCGCCGCTCTCCCCCGGCCAGGGTGCTACCGGAGCCCACGGGCAGCGGGACCGGCGTCAGGCTAGGGTAGGGGGGGGTCAGGGAGCGGGACCGGCAGCGGAGGCAGGTTAGATGCCCGGCGTCAGGCTAGGGGGGGGGTATCCACTTGCAGCCTCTTGACCAAGCCTTATGTCGGGCGTGTCCCCTACATGGGGATTTTCGACAGATAACAAAAAATACCACCCAAAATACCCCCAAAAGACAACACAAATACACCAAAAATAGTCCCCAGACGGTTTTTGGCGCATTTTTGGATTATCTTTAGGGTATTTGGTTTTTGTTCGTCGAACATCCCCCTGTAGGGGGACAGGCCCGACCTGTGCCAAGCCACCAGGGAGCAGCTTCGGGGCCCGGGCGGGTGACGCGCGCGCGCACGTCTCGCTGCCGGCAGGGACTCGTGCGGGCCTCGCTGGGAACCGAGGCCACGCAGGCACTCTCAGCGGCATCTGGCATCTTCTGCCGTGCTACAGTTGGGGTCCTGAAGAAGGAACCCTTTTCGTTGGGGAGGGGCTCCGTGTTCCTTAATTGTTTCGCAGTTTGCCTTAGGTCGTCACTAGGTGTTCGATGGGGACTCGGAGTTTAACTTATGGAACAAAGGGGCCTCGTTCCTTATTTAGGGTTCCTTAGGTCAACGCCCCGACTGTATGGACACGGTCCTTCCAGACCGAAGGAGAACCTACTGACTACGTGCCAGACCACCCCAGCCTAACCCGAAGACCCACGTTTCGGGTTAGGGGGGGGTACGGGTTCCAAATGCGTTTCTCTATGCTCCCCGACGCCCCCCCCCCCCCCACTGGGACTGGAGGGCAAATTAGGGCCTCCGGGTTGGGTTGGCGTGGTTTAGTGGATGGCGGCGTACGGAGCCGATGGCAGCAGGAAGACGATCAGCGACTGCCATGATGATGACAGCGAGGGTGACGAGCAGCAGCGGAGGAAGGGCAGGGGGAGAAACAATGCTGAATAGGACGACGGAACAACTGCAATCTGAGGCGCGGGCTGGCGAAAGCGGTTTCCTGCCCCCCCGCTGTGAAGACCAAATCAGTGCTGGGGATCAGCGGAAGTCTGCTCGCTGGCGGGCGAGTGGAGTGGTGAGGAGGAGGAGGAGGAGGAGGAGGAGGAGGAGGAGGAGGAGGAGCATGGGGAGGAGGAGGAGGCGGAGGAGGAGGAGGAGCATGGGGAGGAGGAGGAGGAGGAGGAGGAGGAGGAGGAGGAGGGATGCGCCGCTGCGCTACTGCTGCACACGGGGAGGGGGAGAAGACGGGCCGGGGAGACGTGAGGCTCGTGTACCGGGGGCCGCGGGTGGGCCCGACGCGGCCATCATGAAGATGGCGCGACCAGCTCTGAGATTTGACGCGACCTCCAGTAATTAATTGGACAATCTACTCGAACCCGATGCAGACGTGAAGGGAATGCTGGTCCCCCCCCCTGCCCCCCCCGACTTCAATGTTGAGATCGGTATGGGTGTTGCTTCGGGGGTTCGAACATCATTGTCCACACAAGCCCCCCTTCATTGCCACATCTCCCCAATATTAATTTGGGGGTCCGGGGGACATCTTGTGTCGCAGGGTTCGGATATATTGTCCATGCACGGTCCCGCTGCAGACATCCCACGAAAACTGGACCGTCAGAATCCAGGGCGCGCTCGTCTGAGAGCGTCGGCAGGACCAGAGGTCCGGCTTGCTCGGGTCATGCGTTTCCCCGGACGTAGAGAGGAGAAGGCGGACGACGAGGGGGAGAGAAAGGCCAAGGGGGTGGGGGCCAGAGGTGGAGGGGGCAGCGGGAGGCAGAAAGGAGGGGAGGAGGACGTGGAGGGGGGGGGGGGGGAGAGAACGGAGGGAGAACGAGGGGAGAGGGGAGAAGCGGAGGGAGAACGAGGAGGGCGAGGCAGAAAGGGGGGAGAACGGAGGGAGAGGAGAGAAACGGCTGCGCGACCGCGTCGTAAAGCAGAGCATCGTGCGCGGCTGCTGCAGCGCTGCGCGGCGTGCGTGCCGCTGCCCCGGAGACCTCCGGCAGGCGAGAACGCCAGCGTGCACTACGCGTGGAAGTCGCAAAGGCTTTGCCTCTGGCTTTTGGCTTTGGCGCAGGCTTCGGCTCTCGCGATTTCCTCCTCCTCCTGCTTCGCCGCTGCTTCTGGTCCGCCTTGCCTGTGCCCACTCGTCCCGCTCGCCCTCGCAGAACAGAGGGGCGGCGAGATAAAACGCGGGAGATGCATCGGACCAGCTCCAACCCAGGACTCGACCCTGCGCTGCCAGGATCGCCCTGGCGCTGCAACTCACGACAGGGATACCCATGCCAACTGTGCGCGGCGAGGTTGCGGCAGACATGACGGCGAACGGCGCGAAACCATGCTGTATCGCTACTTACTCCTACCCGCTCGCCAAGGGGCTCCCAACACGAATGACTATCTCATGTGACTGCTCGGATACGTTCCCTCTAAGCCGAGAGGGGAACACTTTCGTCTTGCTCAGTTCCACTGGAGCTGCCATCGATACTCACACTGTAATGAAGCGCCCATTCCCTCACTTCATTGAATGCGCTACCCCAGACGCGAGGCGCAGAAGTTGTAGAGATGTGGGATGCCGAAATCGATTGTCCACTGCTCCTGCATGTGCTTTGGAACTTACCATCCCCCCTGCCCCTCTCTGGGAATGACCGGGGAGGGATGACGAGAGGAGTAGGACGACGACGATGATGAGGCTGAGGGAGAAGGGAAGGAAACAAGAGGGATCGGGGGATAGCGACATCGGATACTCAGGATGAGCAGGATAATTCGAGACAGGATGAGGCGAGGGGAGAATGGGGATCGAGGAAAACGATGGGGAAGACTAGTATGAATCAAACAAGGATTCTGATAAGAAGGAGGCGGATGCCGAGGAGGGCGCGGAGGAGGATCATCAGGATAAGGAGGAGAAAGAGGAGAAGGAAGATGAGGAGGAGGGACGAGGAGAATCGGCAGGAAGAGGAGACCGGGGAAAGCCGCGAATGAGAAGTGAGATGAACAGCACAGTGTGTAATGCGAGTCGGGGCTAACCTGCACCCCATTTGAGCAAACAAACAACGTTAGCCTATCACCCCTCAATCTACCGATCTCCTCATCAAGCGACAACAAACACGTCTGTGCATGCTTTTAGGCTATCGAGACCGCACTGCATCCGTTATTGTCCATCCATTACTGTCCATCCAGCCTGTGAGGCGATGTCATGTCTAGATCCTGGTAGACACCTGAACATTCCGATATTCGAGATCCTACTTGACGTGTTCGCACGATCGGCCGCGGAGGGAAAGTGTCGGAGAAGAACGCGAGAACAGGAGACGGTACACGAAGAACAACACGTTTGGTGTGGAGGAGACGAGGGCGAGGGAGGGGCGGGGCGGCGGTGGTAGACAGTGAAGGGGAATGCGCGCACGGATCCCTGCCCTCAGAGCTCTTGGACTTGCTCAAAGATGACGGACTTCGCCCCCAGCGGGAGACGGCCGCGGCCGCGTGGCGCGAAGAAGTGCTAGACGTGAGCTTGAAGCGGCAACACGTGCGGGTCATCATGCCCTGGTGTTGCCCTCCCCCCCCCTGAGCATCGTTTAAGCGATCCCCATGCCCACTGGCATGGCCTTGGCCCAACTGGCCGGTTTGCGCCCCTAGATGGGGATGTAGGCTGTGCCCTCTGGGAGGAGGAGGAGGAGGAGCAGGAGGAGGAGGAGGAGGAGGAGGAGGAGGAGGAGGAGGAGGAGGGGGGGAGAGAAGGGGAGAGGTACAGGCTCAACTATGTGCAGCACGAGTGCTGGTGGTGAAATCCACCAGAGTGTTGTGGCCAACTGGTGACGAACCAACAACACACACCCATACTCATAGGGGGGTCGGAGAGGGCTATGGGTGCGTGTTGTCGGATGGAGGTCCCCGCTCGAACGGGAGCGTTCCCCAGGTTCCGACAACAACCCGCACCCATACCCCTAGCCAGTCCTCCTCTCAACGACCCCCCTGTGGGTATGGGTGTGTGTTGCTCGTTCGTCAACTGGGGGGATGTGATGGTGGGGCTGAGATACTTTGGCCTGGTGGGGATGGGGATGGGGAAACCAAAGGTACTGATGCTGCTGCTCCCCGGACCCCTCCCGGGGTGCGCTCTCTGACCAGAATCTCGAGGCGAACGCAGCCGCGGCGGCGAGGGCCTCCCAGGAGGCCCAAGGAGGCCACAACGGGGCGAGGGTAGCGGTAGGGGTACCCATTCCTTTGAGCAGGCAGTAGGGGAACAAAAAGTGGCATAAACAGAAAACCTCTGAGGTCCGCGCGGATTGCTCGGATCGGCGCTGGACCCCCCTCCCTGGCGCGCGGAGCGCGCCAGGGGCGGCGCCAGAGGCGCCGCCGGGGGGCCCCAGCGCCGACCCGAGAAATCCGCGCGGGCCTCCGAGTTTTCATGTTTATGCCACTTGTTGGTCCCCTCTTTCCTTGGAGCAGACAGATTGGACGATGCTGCCCCCCCCCCCGCCCCCCTCCTTCGAAACTGCCTCGGCCACCCCGCCGCCCTTCCCCCCGTGTCCTTCTGCGCCCGCGCCTCCTGCGCCGCCCCGCCGGCAGCCAGCAGCATCAGCCTGCGGCGCGGCGCACGCGATATCGCTTCGGAGGACACCCCCCACCGAGGCACCTCGCTCCTCCCGACCAGTCATACCTGGAGGAGCTGTGGACCTTACCCCCCTGGGGGAACCCATCGCATCGACGATCTCTCGAGAGGGGTGTCGAAATCGATGGGTCCCCCAGGGGGGTAAGGACCACAGCTCCCCCAGTTGCGGCTGGCCTGTCTTCCCTCTCGCCCCGCCCAGGGAGGGGAGGCACAGTCGGAGGTGGACCTGCAGGCGCGCTCGACTCTCGAGTTCCCGAGACGCCCGCGCGCCTCGGCACGTCCCGGCCTCGGGTCGGGAAGAAAGGCGCTGAAGCTGGCGGGCAGTGCGTGGCCTGCTTGCTGGGGTTGTCGTCTGCAGAGAGCAGACACGTCTGTGCATGCCGACGTCCAGGAACAATCCACGTGAAGGGTGAGGATCAGAGATGGGTACGACGAGCTGAAAGGACGATGATGACAAAATCTCCAAGATGACTACGTCCTCGCAGCGAAGCTGGGTTTCGAGACTTAGGCATTGAAGCGCTAGAGGCTGTCTCGGACAAGTCTCTCCTGCTCGCCAAGTTCTTCAACTGGGTAATTAATACGTACCAGCAAATGGTCCCGAAGTACGCCTGCCAGACCCGGGCAAGTTCTAGATGGCAGCGGCAAGAGCCGCACGAGCATCTCTATCTTTCTCCTTGCGCGCCCAATGGATGTCCAAGGCGGCCTGGCTATCTCCAGGGGCCGCCCTGGCTCCGCTGGCCAAGCAGGGACGCCACCTCTGACGACCACCCCTCTAATCTTCCCTGGCCAGCTTGGGCAGGACTCATTGGATGGCGAATTCTTCCTTTCATCTGTGCGCTCGTGTTCTGGGGTGTGCCAGCCCGCGCGTTTCTCTCGCTGCTCAGCATTTGTCCTGCGTGCCGTCGCAATTGCGGCATCGAAGGGTGTGATTTCTCCGCCCTGCTGACCGTGACCTGACCCCAAGGGGGGCGGCATCGTCTGCTTACGCGCACTCGTCTACTCGACCCTCGTCGCCGCTTGCGCGAATAAATCGATGGTGTACAGCGGAAAGCTCGACGATCCCCCGGTCGCCACAGCAAGAAACTTCGGCGACCTCTTCGTCGCCAGTGTACGCTTATTTCGGTGGCAACTCATGGGCGCCTCCCATACTATCTTGTCGGCTCTCGCGAATCGACGCTTGCCGACCCTAAATCGACACAAAATCGATGCCAATCGACGCTAGCCGTCGCTGAATCGGCATTATATTATCGAGTCGCAGACGCTAATCGACGCTTGTCGACGCTAAGGTCGGAATTGACAGGGTACTCAAGGTTCCCAAGATTTGCTTTAAGTCGGGCATGTCCCCCAGCAGCAGTCAAGAATCGTCCCCAGTCTATGTTTTTACTACTTTTGAATGTTCCCTCTGTTGAAAGACAGGCCCGATTTAAGATTTGCTACCGGACGCCCATCGAACCTCCGACGTCGAGGCGGACCACGCGCATTGCTGCCGCCCACCCGTGCGGGCAGCATGGGACGGGGTGGAATTCCTTGTATTCGCCCACCGGCCCCTCCTGCTTTTTGCTTACGGCAGGTTCGCGCGGCGACGGCGGTCGCAAAGGGTTTTGACACCGCGTCGATCGTTAAATCTTGAATCGATGTTCAAGCTAGAATCGATCGCGGCCCCGACTGTTCAAGAATGAATCCATTCGGGTCCAATAACATTACCGTGCCCATCGGTGCTTCCGCGACGAACGATTCAATGTTTAGCGTTTTTGCTGGCGTCGCCAGCGCGTCAACGCCGCACGAACTTACGGTAGGGGTTGTGGAACCATGCTTCGCACAAGACAAAATGCCTCGTAATGCACATTGGCCGGAAATGGGGACGTGAAGGACGATGCTCAACTCCTCCCCCTCCCTCCTGCCTTGCCCCTGTCCCCCGCCTCCTTTTCGTTTTCATCTTCACCCCCTCCTATACCTTCGACGTTGTAATATTCCTCCCCCTCCTCCTCCTCTTTCTCTTCTTTTTCCTCCTTCTCCTCCTCTTCCTCCTCTTTCTTCTCCTCCTCCTCCTCCTCCTCCTCCTCCTCCCCCTCCTCCTCATTACAGTCGGAGGGATACTCAGAAACGAAATGATCAATTTGTCGCATAGAAAATGTTGGATGCACATCATATCAACGGCAACTCGCATCAGTCACACCCGGCGCTGCACGCACGTCGAGCCGACGTGAGCCAAAAGGTTGATTAACATTCTGCACCGCTTGGGTCGCGCCTGGGCGGAGGCCCCATCCGCTCGGCGGCAGCTTTGTCCGCGCCCGAACCGCCTTGAGACTGTCCGCGCCCTAATGTAATGCTATAAGACATGAGAACCGGATGGGTCTCAACATCTGCACGACATGGTAAACAAAAATCACACACCAGACGCGTCCGATGGCGGTCTCAAAGTGGTCTCACACAGTCTCAAAGGGTCTCAAAGTGCCCCGAAGCCCTCGGCGCCGAGAACATCCGCGAGCCTCCCATGGTCTCAAAATGCCACGACACCCTCGGCGCCGAACGAAGTCGCGCGTCTTCAAAGCTTTCAAATCGCCGCGGTACCCTCGGCGCCGAGCACACCCGCGAGTCTCACATGGTCTCAGAGTGCCACATCACCCCCAGAGCCAAGCGCAGTCGCGCGTCTCCAAGGCTTTCAAATCGAACCGAAACCCTCGGCGCCGAGCCCACTCGCGAGTCTCACATGGTCTCACAGTGCCACGAAACCCTCGGCGCCGAACGCCTTCGCGCGTTTCAGAAGGTCTCACCATGCCAGGAGACACCCGGCGCCGAACGCATTCGCTCAAAAGGGTTTCGAATCGCCCCGAAACCGTCGGCGCCGAGCACATCGCAAGTCTCACATGCTCTGAAAATGCCACGATGCCCTCATCAACAGCATCATCATCATCATCCGCCTCATCCGCCTCAAACTCCTCCGCCTCCGCCTCCTCCTCCTTCGCATCCTCCTCCTCCTCCTCGTCCTCTTCCTCCTCCTGCCCCTCCTCCTCCGTATCCTCCTCGTCCTCCTCCGCCTCCTCCTCCTCCTTCTCCTCCCCGCCCCTCCTCCTCCTCCTCCTCCTCCTCCTCCTCTTCCTCCTCCTCCCCTCCTCCTCCTCCTCCTCCTCCTTTTCCTCCTCCTTATCCTCATCTTCCCTCCCCCTCCTCCTCCTCCCTCCTCCTCCTCCTCCTCCTCCTCCTCCTCCTGCTCCTACCTCCTCCTCCTCCTCCTCCTCCTCCCCCTCCACCTCCTCCTTCCTCCTCCCCTCCTCCTCCCCCCCTCCTCCTCCGCCTCCGCCTCCGCCTCCTCCTCCTCCTCCTCCTCCTCCTCCTCTTCCTCCTCCTCCTCCTCCTCCTCCTCCTCCACTTCCTCCTCCTGGGTCCTGGTCCTAGTACTCGTCCTGGTCCATCGACCCCTTCCTCATCCTCGTCCTCGTCCTCCCTCCCCTCCCCCTCCTCCTCCTCCTCCTCCTCCTCCTCCGCCTCCTGCCTCCTCCTCCTCCTCATTCCCCTCCTGCTCCTCCTCCTCCTTTTCCTGCTCCTCCTCCTCCTCCTCCTCCTTCTCCTCCTCCTCCTCTTCCTCCTCCTCCTCCTCCCCTCCTGGTCCTTGTCCTTGTCTTGGTCCTCGTCCTCTTCCTCGTCCTCGTCCTCGTCCTCCTCCCCCCCTCCTCCTCCTCGTCCTCCTCCTCCTCCTCCTCCTCCTCATTCCCCTCCTCCTCCTCGTCCTCCCCCTCCTCCTACTCCTCATCATTCTCCTTTTCCGCCTCCTCCTCCTGGGCCTCCTCCTCCTCCCTCCTCCTCCTCCTCCTCCTCCTCCTCCTCCTCCTCCCTCCTCTCTCCTCACACGGTGAGCGCCCAAGGTTTTTTTTTTTTTTTTTTTTTTTTTTTTTTTTTTTTTTTTTTTTTTTTTTTTTTTTTTTTTTTTTTTTTTTTTTTTTTTTTTTTCTGGGCCTCCAGCAGGCCACTCTTGCCCTCCAGGGATCCAGGGAACGTATATGAGCCCTGGAGACCAGGAGCGGCAGTCCCCACCGTTTGCTTTCGATGTACTCGGAAACCTCGGTCTCAGAACGCCTTCCCATCATGGGTCGTATCACGTGGGCGTCGACGGAGTGTGTAGCTCTGACGATGCCCAGTGGGCTGATGCCCGCAAGAATTTCAACTTGTCGCAAGCTGTGGAGGCCACTCTTGCCAAGTCGGACAGTGCCTGTCCCCGTCTGGCCGCTGGCGGCCATCTTCCTGGGCATCGGCACGGTCCCCCTGGTTTTTTTTTTCGGCCCCGCGGGCCAAGAAGTTTTTACCAAGGCCGCACCCGGCCTCGATGTTGAACGTCCTCAGGCGTCCAAGTTTTTTCCCTTCCACTCCCCAGAGCCCAGTCCTGGAGATTCTAGCGTTGAGCTCGCCATCCAGACTGCTAACGTCACGTCTTGGCAATCCGACTCGGGAGGCGGTCTCAAAGCTTGGCTCCCTAAGTGTGGTGCGCACATTCTCTTGATCCAAGAGCATCACTTGCTCGAAGCTGAGCTGGAGGAGGCTACAGGCTGGGCCCATCGGCATGGGTGGAAAGCTATCCTTGGGCCTGCCGCTCCAGGAATTGGACGTGGTACTTCGTCAGGGGTGGGGATTCTGGTTCGGAGCTCTTTGGGGTGTCACGCACCTCCTGGAGGCCACATCATCGACCGTCATCGTTCGATCGGAGCTGTAGTACATATACCTGGCGGTGATCCCATCCTCGTTCGCAGCACCTACATGCGTACTGTTGAGGGGCTCTCGGAGGCCAACGTGGAGCTCCTGGCATGCATCGGCACGGTCGTTGAGCAGGTAGGCCTACCCACCATCATTGGAGCCGGTTTTAACATGAGCCCTGGCACGCTCGCACCGTCAGGAATTGTCAACAGGTTGGGTGCACAAGTGGTCGTCCCCGAAGACGTCGTGGGCACGCGTGGTGCTAGCATGCTTGATTATGTTATC